GATTTCAATCTGAAAGGCCCCAAAGTTGAAGGTGAGGTGGATGTTCCAAAGATTGAAGGAAGAGTGAAAGCACCGGGAGTTGATATTAGTGGACCAGACCTTGAAGGTCCTGATGTAAAATTGAAAGGGCCAAAGTTCAACCTTCCATCACTTTCAGGACCCAGTCTACCAGACTTCGACATTAATTTGAAAGGCCCCAAAGTTAAGGGAGATGTCTCAGCTCCAAAGGTTGAGGGAGACATCAAAGGCCCCAAGATGGATATCCAAGGTCCAGAGATTGACATTCAAGGACCCAAAAGTTCACTTAATATGCCCAGTATTAAAATGCCATCTTTTGGTTTCAAAGGTCCAAAGGTTGAGGGTCCAGATGCTGACATACACCTTCCCAAGGCCGATATCAATGTAAAAACACCGAAAGTTGATATTACAGTGCCAGAAGTTGAATGTTCCTATGCAAAACCAAAAGGACCCAAAATGAAACTTCCATCATTGTCTGGACCTAAGTTGGAGGGCCCCGACATTAACATTAACATTCCCAAACCCAACAATGAATTTAAAACATCCGATATTGGAATTGACCTCAAAGGGCCTAAAGTTAAAGGTGAAGTGGATGCATCGGTGCCCATGTTTGAAAGTGACATAAAAGGTCCAAATGCTAACATCTCTAATGATGATGAAAAGACTGCTGTTACCTTTCCTAAGTTTAAAGGTCCTAAGTTTGCAATGAAAACCCCAGTTCTCGAAGAGTCTAAATCCAATATCAAGATGCCCAGTACAGCACCAAAAAGTCTCAAAACAGAAGTTAGTTTCCCAGACACTGACGCAAGTGTTGATGCCCCTGATATTGACATCAATGTAAAAGGGAAAAAAGGAAAATTTAAACTTCCAAAAGTTAAAGGAAAGGCAAAGAAACCTGATGTTGACATAGAAACACCAGCAACAGAAATCAATGCAGACATAACAAACAGTTATGCTAAAGGAACAAAAACAAAGAAGTCTCGGTTTGGAAAGCTTCATTTTCCTGATGTAGAATTAGATATAAAATCACCAAAACTAAAAGGAGATGGATCTTTATCTGCCATTGATGGCTCTGGCAGTCATAGTGCAAATGTTAACTTGGAAGGGTCGAACATGAAAGTAAAATCTTCTAATATTAAAATGCAAAGCGGGACTGATTCAGAAATAAACGCAAGTGCTTCAGGAGGAAGTGCAAGTGGTGGCCTTCAGTACCCAGAGGGTAAAGTCACATTTACCAAAATCACAATGCCAAAGTTTGGCATTGTGTTGCCACAGGTGGAAACCAAAGAAAGTGGAGGAAATATTGAATCAGAACCTGCAGCTAGTGTAGACATCAAGACAGAATCTCCATCTATTAGTTGCCAAGTCAGTTCTCAAAATATTGAGGTTCCCAGTCCAGAGCTGAGACAAGAAGGCAAAGTTAAGGTAAAGATGCCAAAAATTTTTGGCAAATCAAAAGCGAAGGGCAGTAGTGTAGGTGACCTTCACGGATCAGAGGCAGAATTAAGTAGCAGTGGAAAAGCAGGTAAGACCTCTAAAGAGCTAAGTGTACATTCTGGGGAAATGATGGGTGGAAAAATAGAATTAGAGGGTGATCCAGGACTGGGTTTGTCAACTAAAGGCAAATCGGCCTCACTTGATCTTTTTAAGAAATCAAGACATCGATCTTCCTCTTTCAGTGATGAGGGGGGAGTTAGTTCTCCTTCAGCTCAATTAGAGGCTGAAGGTGGTGACATTTCTTTAGATCTCGGAAGCAAGGTCAAGGGAAAGAAAGGCAAGCTTAAGTTTGGTACTTTTGGAGGTTTTGGTTCAAAGTCAAAGGGCTCATATGAAGTGACACTGGGAGATGACAGTGAAGCACGAATGGAGGGGAGTGCAGGTGTTTCGCTACCTGCTAAAAAATCAAGACTGTCTTCATCCTCTAGCAGTGATAGTGGTTCAAGAGGTGGTTTCAGGTTCCCCAAAGTTGAGCTATCAGTTTCACCCACAAAGTGATAAAGAGACAAATTAAAACCTCAATTGCAACCAAATGTTTTCTCCTAATATTGAAAATTGCTCTTTGTTTCTTTAAAACCTAAGGAGACATGCACAATCATCTCAGTGTGGTTAATTATGAATATCTTTTAGTAATCAAACAGAAGTGCATGAGATTGTTTAAAATCCCTTCAAACTGTAAATAAGATTAATTTGTAATAATAAATATTGTTTTTTGTATATAGTCCAGATTTAATAAATATATGCCATCTCACATCAATAGTTTGTTACAGGGTTTTCTCACTGTGTTCTTTTTCATTCTATTAAATAAATGTTAATGAATGGTTGTGGTATATTTGTGTCCAGGGGTCTATTGCACAGAACCAATATGTTTTTTTTAAAGATTAAAATGTTGTTTATTCACTCAAATACAGTTACCTTTTTAAGTAGGGAGTGATTTTATTTTCAAACTTTAATAATATATAATCAGTAAGTAAAGATGCCTTTTTATAACACATTGTAAAGAGTGATAATGTATATACCAATACTGCAACTGTTTTTACATTTTCAAGTGCTGTCAGTAGTATTCTGTTCATTTTAAACAAAATGTATTTGCTTAAATTTGCCATTTACCACAAATATTCATTTGGTTCAGTTATTTTAAACAGGATCTCTTTCCTAATCATGTGTTATTGTCACTCATTAATGGTCTGTTTAATGATTTTATTTCATTCTGTCACTCTCTCTCTTTGTATACACACCATATGCTTGCATTAAGTGTCACAAATAGTACCCCCTTGATGTTAATTTGTTTGCATACAAATTCTTTGTTGATAGACAAAGAAATAGTATTGACTAGATGCAAGAGAGATCATTATTTGGGTCTATTTTTTGTGTGCAATCTGCCAAATAAACTAAATAAAAAAACTTTTTGAATTCAAAGTGTTTTAAAAGAAAATCAGTATATGTTGCTATTTAGGGTAACACAACCATTCACACATATGGGCAATTTAGAATCGTCAATTAACCTAACCCCACTAACGGCATGTCTTCGGACTATGGGAGGAAGTCAGAGTACCTGGAGTGAACCCACACAAACATGGGGAGAACATGCAAATTCCACACAGAAAGACACACACAGAAAATATATTTCTAATAGTGTTTGTTTAATCATTATAATAAAAAAAAATCGTAATAAGGGTGAATAAAACATAATGAAACAGAGAGTAGTTTTTACAGATATGTAATATCTTAACTTGCTTATATACTTCATTGGAAAAGCTAACAACTGAAATTCTTATCTTCGTAGGGCTCTGTATCTTTTTTTTATTCACCCAGCGTTCACAGGTCTGACAGATCACCAGTTTTGTTGGGGTATAAAAGCAGTTCAGCTATTTAAAAAAGGAAATGTCAACTTTTACTCAGTTACATAATTATTATTACAAAATCCTGCTCCTCACATACAAGGTCTTGAATAATCAAGCCCCATCTTATCTGAATGACCTTATAGTACTGTATCACCCCATTAGAGCACTTCGCTCTTGCACTGTTGTTCCTAGAGTATTTAAAAGAAGAATGGGAGGCAGAGCCTTCAGTTTTCAGGCATCACTTCTATGGAACAAGTTTCCAGTTTGGATTTGGGAGACAGACACTATCTCTACTTTTAAGATCAGGCTTAAAACTTTCCTTTTTGCTAATGCATATAGTTAGGGCTGGATCAGGTGACCCTGAATCCTCTCTTAGTTATGCTGCAATTGGTGTATGTTGCTGGGGGATTCCCATGATGCATTGAGTATTTCTTCTTTACTCACCTATGTCTCTGGCTCCCTTTTATCCTGTCTTCCTTCTCTCACCCCAGCCAGTGGCAGATGGCCACCTCGCCCTGAGCCTGGTTCTGCCAGAGGTTTCTTCGTGTTAAAAGGGAGTTTTTCCTTCCCACCATCGCCAAAGTGCTTGCTCATAGGAGGTCATATGATTGTTGGGGTTTTTCTCTGTATGCATTATTGTAGGGTCAACCTTACAATATGAAGCATCTTGAGGCGACTGTTGTTGTGATTTGGCATGGAATAAATATAATCGAATTGAATTAGAGAGTTGACAGTAAAATGATTCTTATGTAATTATTCTTATATATTCTACTGATATACTTAAACTATAAGTTACATTAATTTAAAAAACACAATAATTAAAAAAAA